ATATAGGCAAAGGTTCCATTGGATCACTTTTAATAGTATAGTGCAATAATACCTAAACCTCAACATCCAAAGTGAAAGCAAACTTTTGACTCCACACCGTTCAATATAGTCCCTGTATTATATAGTAAAAGGTTAAACCATTTTGACTATCGGTGGAGGAGGGGTTAAAAAGTTTAAAATGGTTTGCTTTTATGTAATATCTTCTTTGACTATAAATACAACTTCTGTATTCAATAGTCAATGGTAATATTTTAAATACTACAATCTTAGCACAAAATATGTTATTAATACTTTATAATTGATCTTCAATTTTCATTGTGTGTTTGGCCTTTTTGTAATGGTACCTTCCAAACCCCCTGACCTAATGTCAACCTGTTGCTAGCTCAATGACTAATTTCATCCAGGTCCAGAATATACCCCACTTAAACCACTAAAGGCTACTGCAGTCACCTTGCAAGGCTGCAGTCAAGGCTACTGAGTCATGTTCTGCCTCTCACTTGTAATTGGCCGCTAGGCTCACATGTTTTATGTCCTTTGACCTCCCTCTTGCACATTTCTGCCTCCTCCACCTCACTCATGGCTACAGACACACTGTTAACCGCATCAAAAAGAAAGTGGAAAAAATTAATTACTATTCATTCTCCCATAAAAGAGAGTAATAGTTTATCGTTACGCTAAACACTTGTTGTAGTTACACTATTTATTTATTTTTTTATGTGGCCCATTTTCAACCACATCAGTCCAGGTATAATCTTCTTCCCTATCCTATACATGCAGCAGAGTTTTCAAAGGCCTTATCATTATAAGATTATTTTCTTGTTGAAGGCAAAAAACAAGCTTGAAATCATTATCATTAAGACCTGAAAAGAGGTAAAATTACCTTGATTATTTCCTGTTTTACTGTATGAATTTTATTGAAGGAAAGGTCTGCCACAATATATGGATTAGTAATAGTATACGTTAGACTGACTATAACAATCACATCTTGGACACAACTGAATCATCTTCACTCAATGAAGGGCACTATCAGAGGAATTGATAAATATGAGTAAATATTACTATTATAATAACTATGTAAAAAAATACCCCCTGCTGCAGCAAACCTGCAGACTAAGCGAATTTCCATTTGCCTGGTTGGATTTTTCACTAATATATCTCCTTTAAAAAATGTCATACTTAATCCCTATTTAAATAACATTAACTTAGTTTAACAACTACTTAGGTTTGCTGCTACAGGGAAGGTAAAAAGGTGTGTATTTTATTAAAATACTAGCTGTACCCGCGGGCTTTGCCCCGTTTAACTTCTTAATTTTCAAGATGAGCTCGTTCGCATGGCTTGATCACGTCCTGGGCCCTGTTTCATAAAAATACTAGTCTAGTAATTACTAGTCCATGGACTAGTAATACTAGTGTATTTTACAAGTCTACGTTTCAAAAACCTACTAGTGTAAAATACTAGTTACTAGTGTAGGGACTAGTATTACTAGAGGTTTTTACTAGTGTAGACAGCAATGTGTTTCATAAAGTTTTACTCTTGTAAATTACACTAGTAAATACTTGCTATTTTCTACCAACCTCTCTTCACCCGTATTATTTGAAGTAGACTAGTATTTTTGGAAAGAGAGCTATTTCATTACTCACATCATTAAAAAAAAATGAATTATTAAGTTCTTTTTGCAAGTGCGAATTGGCTCACGAATAGATCTGTGAGTGCTAAAATGATAATTAATAGATATAAATTACAATCAATAAATGTGGCGTGGTACAAAATGAGTGAAATTCAATTTTATAATGTATGTACAATCGCCCTATTAGAATAATTATGATTAAGTTATCAATTTCTGTGAATTTTTAGTCTAATTTTACTTGAGTTAAATTTCATGGTTATATCAACTATTTAGCTATCACAGAGACAAATTTTTTAAGCTTTGATAGAAACCAAATTAAAACCGCATACCGTTTTGAATACAAAGATGTACAAAAATGTATTAATCAGATTAATTTACACCCAATTAAGGCTCTCGGTTTTATTTAAAGACATTTTAATAGGAAATAATAGTAAGGCAATTTTAAAAAGGAGTTGCATTGTATTTTTTGAGGTGCTTATTATTTGCTTCCGTAAATAGCTAAAACCCTGTGATGTACTAACAATTTTGTAGACCTATATTTGATTTTTGGGCGTTGAACTTAACTGCTTATCATAAAAACTTTACTTTCAATCCATTTTGGTATTCTGAATTTGTTATTCAAAGTAATAAAAAAAAATAGATGTTGATTAGAGCTCTTATTTTAATGTAAAAACATGTAAAAGTTTAATTAATGCAATAAAAAGTAGAGTGGCGCAGATTTGGACCAGGGACCAACCACATGACAAGCAAGAACTCTCTACCTCTGAGCTAAGCCCTGCCGTAGCGCCTATGCCATGTTTTACTATACTTGAAAACCTACTTCTCTATTGCTTGTAACGGCGTTGCATTTATTTGTTACATCAATAAACGTTTAGGCTTATTATTCATGGTTTGTAGACCCAAAATTAGAATATCACCAAATGGTTTTTAACCCAAATATTCTTATGCATTCGAATATTTGAAAACATAGGTTAGGGTACTTGAAAACGTTCCAAACAAAATGTCCTTAGACGATTTAATTACATTCAAAATTTGAGCCTTATTTTCTTTAATCATAGCAAGCTAAATGTTATATGTCAGAATAAAACAAAAACCATACACATTGTGTGAATGCGGCAGCAACAGATCAACTTTTTTACCCAACTCTGTTGAGCGCCGCAACTAGGCCTACAACCGGCTACTACAATCACCGTGTTGATTGCAGCGACGCGACGCCGCGCCGCGCCGCGCCGTCGGCGGGCTCATTGATGAACATAAATTATAGCGTTTTGACAAATAATATGTAATTGTTTTACTTATGTGTCTATATAGTTATTAATTTAAAGAAAACACTGCGTTTCTACAACTATTTACTTTTTGTATCAAATGAAAACAAAATTAAAACCCTTTATGAATGGTTTGAAAACCCGTGATTGAGGTTAGAAATTTGTTTTGAGAATTTACCTTGTAAAGTTGGTCACGTGACTAGTAGTTTTGGTCACGTGACTAGTAAAATACACTAGTATTTACTAGCGGTATAAAAACGTTTATGAAACACAAATTAGTAGGACAGGTAAATACGGGACTAGTATTTACTAGACTAGTAATTACTAGACTAGTATTTTTATGAAACAGGGCCCTGGTTGAAGTTCGTTCGCTACGCTCACTCACCTTTAGGTTGGAGCTCGTTCGCTGCGCTCACTTGCCTTCAGGTTAACTCGTTCGCTATGCTAACTCGCCTCCAGGTTGAAGTTCTTTCGCTACGCTCACTCACCTTTTGGTTGCAAATTAGCTGTGTCATAAATTTAAAAAAATAATAGTGCTGCACCCTGTTGGTAATCCTTGTAACTTTAATGCTATTGAACATCATAGAACATCATAGGACAGAACCAACTTGTTTAATTGAAACAGCTGTTAAGATTCTTTAATTCCATTTAAATATGAGTACTCATAAGGTTAACATGGGAAACTCCAGAGCCACTGGGGCGGAGCCCGAAAGCCCGATCAGAATAAAAACTACTTAGTTTTCCTATTTAATGCCCAAAGAATCGGTGTACCGAATTTCAGCCTTCTAGGTAAATGGGAAGTGGGAGGATTAGTGATGAGTGAGTGAGTGAGTGAGTCAGTGAGGGCTTTGCCTTTTATATATATAGATTGATAGTTGAGAATGAAATAAACAAATTTTGGCAAATTTGATCAAAATATGCTCATAAACTATCAAACTACAACAGTTTATTCTTCTTAAGAATAACATGGAAATTTTAAATTTACAGTTATTTAAATCCTATCAATATTATAAATGAGAAATTTTGGATGTATGTATGGATGTTTGTGACAAGTAAACGCGAAAAATACTGGTCGGGTTGGGCTGAAATTTGGGGTGATGATAGCTCACATTCCCGATTAACATATAGGCATATTGTTACCTCAAAACACCTTCAGGCTCCGCCCCTAGTGGATCTGGAGTTTCCCATGTTAACCTCATTGGTATTCACATTTAAAAGGATATCAAATAATTTTTTCAGCTGATTCGACCATACAAGTTGGTTTTATGATATTCATAGCATTAAAAAGTTATAAGGTTTACCAACAGGGTGCAGCACTATTTTATTTTAAACTTACAGTTATTTAGATACATAAACTCAAATGGATGGTGTTTTGGCCTCTGGGGACATCAAAATGAAAAAGGGGTCCAGGTCTTACCACGAGACCTACTGTAATAGCTCTATATGGGAAATTAACTATTAAAATAAAAATAAAATTCTGAAATATTTTCACATTTTAATTGGTCTGAGTTTATTGATAAAGAGATGTTTATTGTAGTTAAACAATAAATATACAAGCACACAAACACAATTATAAACAGTAAATTGTAAGAACAATAAGATAATCCATTTTTATAAATCATGTTTTCTTCAGCAGAAAAAGTTTCCAAGTGTAAAAGTGTACAGGTCTGATAAAAAAAGCTTAAAGTGTTAAGTTTAAAAAAAAAATAATCAATTTAGCCCCGCGGCGTATGTATAATTGCTGCTATTTTTCTTGTCCTATATTCTTGTAAGGTGTCGCAGAGCAGTTGTGTGAGTGGTAGTAGGGGGTCATTGCCATTGGTGAGGTGTACAAAAACTGCCCCAGCACATTCCATTTCACTGTCACTGTCTCTGCATCCTGTATCAAATGTATCAATTGTTTCCTTCTAAAATAGCTTCTAGGTAGTTAGTAGCAACTGGAATATCATCCTGTCATAGCTATTGATAAGGGAGGATTAGTAGATGGCAAATCCTTTCTTCAATTTCTTCAATTTGATTTCCTTCCACCCCACATTAATGTTCTACTCTTGTAACTACAAAGTTGAAATGCAAGTGTTGTATTGTTGTGTGTGTTTGCCTGTTATAGACAGTGAGCTAGGACCTGGCTACCGTTCGGCCATGCAAGAGTCTGCACTGATTGTGTCCCTACAGATGTTCAACATTCTACTAGAGCGAACAAACCAGCTCCTGATAGACCAGCAGAACAACACCTATAAACACATTGTTAGTGATGATGTTCAAACACTGCTGCCTGCCATCAAAGTAAGTATGGGTTACAATTAGGTCCGAGGATATCAGTGTATGTATTACAATATTTACCTTGGCTTATTTGTGCAAATCTTGTAACCCTCCAGGTTCTGCGATTCATTTAAAAACATGAGTTAACCAAATAAGATGTACACTAGTGTAGCTGTTACTCGAATTCGAGCAGTTGCAAAGCATTACAGGAGTTATTTCAAAACTAATAACAGTTATAATTTCTGATAAGTTTAAAAGAGTCAACTCAAAGATAATATGTCACTAATGGATTACTCACGATTTACATATCAGTTCAATAATCTTGTAAATATTGTTAATGTTAATATTTTTTCATTTTTCAAAAGCTGATCTTGCTTTTTAGTGTTTTCTACAAATGTTTCCCGATTTACCCATAGCCGCATAAGGTTGTCCATGTTTATCTTCGTTATTGATAAACAATAATGTATCTAAATGATCTATATGACATGGTACCACCATTGTCGCCAGTATGTTTACAAATATTAGTCATTTTTTTTAAATAGCGATAACATTTGTTCACATTACTTAAGACCTTAAGGGCTTCCTTCATAACCAGTCTGTTACAATTTTATTTGCTTTAATTGGCATTCCTTTGGTTAGTTGTTGTAATAATAACGTCAATTATATTCACCTGAGAAAATTCAGAGTTAAAAGACCTAATGTTTTTTAGGTGGTTTTTGGTTTCTCTTAACTAGAAAAATAATTGAATCCTTCAATTAAAGTTTTAGTAAAGGTTTCTTGGATCTAGTCATATTCTTCTAAAATCACTTGACTTATATGGAAACATAGATTAAATGTCCTTGACATACCATTTTTATTTAGCCTTAGAGGGTTTTCCTTTGCAATGAATGATCACAAAGTTAAGTCCAAGTTTCCTACTAAAAATTGTAACTCCTCGACTAACATCCTAGTACATTGTTTGTAGGAATCTTCATCTTCTACTTGCTCTTCATTATACAGGCTAATAAAGATTAATAAATTCTCAAAAAAACAATATATTTATTTCTTATACTTGGTGGCGCTCTACGACTTTTCTATGTTTCCATAGTTTGCAAATTGGTTATTTCAATGATTACTCACTAAATACAGTAATGGGTCAATTCAGTTATCTTATTTAGTTAAATATGCCAAATTGTCCAGCCTTTCTCCATTTTTCCATTGTAATACGTAGGCAAGCCCAAATTCAAATAGTAAATATTTTAATTTTGACCAAGTCAGTTAAATTTAATGTTTAAGCACGTCTTTCCTTGAATTGGAACTTAAATATTAACAGCAATTAAACTATCCATCATAATGTAAACAAATATTTTCTTCGTAAGGATAGTTCATGGAAACTTTAAAAGCCACTGGGGCAGTGGCGAAGGGACTTTTTCAAAAATTTAAGGTCAGTCTGCACATTTATGCGAAACACTCTTTCCAATGAGATGTGAATGGTCAAAATCGGTTAAGAACAGCTGAGGAGTTTAACCGACTAATTTCGTGTTGGCGTATTTATTATATAGATGAGATTATGTTTATCTTATCTCATCTAGAAGGGGCAGGTCGAAGCCTCAAAGCGCTTTAGCCAGACTTGTTGAATTATTGCACACCCCAGTTAATTGTCGTATACAGAAACCGTCAATGTCCAGGAATCTGATGACTGCCTGCATGCTACCAATCAGTTCCTCCTGTTTGATGTGAAGAGTGAGCTTGATTACATTTACAGCCTATCCCCTACAATTTACTTGAGTGGCCCATAGGCCATGGCTCATGACACGATGGAGGTACAACAGAAAGGTTGAGGACCAAACAATGGTGGCATTGAAGCAACATTCGCCAGTAAGTCACCCAACACAGTGTCAAATCATTCCCCTTCGCGATTCCAGACACGGAGGCAATACAATTTCAGACAATCTTGAAGAAAATGTGAGTAAATTACATGTAAAATAGTGACTACTTGACAAACTCTCAAATAATGTTTACTACTTTATTGTTTAACGGCTTGGTTTGTCAACTGTTGCTCAGGTCTGGTGTGATTGGCTCCTCTGTCACAGCAGTGTCTGGAACCCTCCTCCATCATGTCACGACTACAGAGTGGGGTAAGTTGATTATTTGTATTTTGAATAACGATGAAGTAGGCATTTCTGGTTTTCATGTTTACTATTTTACTATTTTTAACTTTAATCCCCTATTAAATGGTTAATTTTTTAATTAGAAATATGTTTAAACAAATACGAGCTGTTTGGCCCGTCCTACGTACGGGAATCGAGTAGTCCATTTTGTATATGATTCAGAACAGCTAGTTTACAGCTTGGTGGCCGATTCACACACACTGGCTTTGAGTACAGTAGCTACATAACACCTTCCACTGCATATGCCTATCACTTAGCACCTCTAAAATGATACTGGCCTCCCGTTCTCTTCCATCCCCTGCCATTTCTAAGGAAGATACCAGTCTGAAGATGTCTTTCATTACTTGGTCTTCCAAGTGGTCGTCTACCTTGTAGTACTCCTTGGAGTACACTTTTAAAAGTTGGAGTATCTTCTCTCCGCCATGCAAAACCTGCCCAGCCCATCCGAGATCTGAGCCTTTTGGAATGTACCCCTTTATCAAGTTTCTGAATCATACAGTACTACTGGGATAGTTATGATATGGTATGAATCGATTTTGGTTTCTACTGACACCCTGTAGCTTACTGGTCAGTTTTCTGGAGACCTACTACACCGATTGACATTTTCATGTGTACTGTATGCAGTCATACTTATATCCAAACATCTAGAAAAAGATGTATCAACACGTAAACCACCTATATCTTAAAGGATTAAGCAGTTAGACGGATTGCATATATGACAAAACTTGATTATACGTTTAAAATGTTTAGTTCAAAATTACACAATCTACTGATAACATATATCTTTTACGGTAGGTAATAAACTGTATTTTAAAGTGAAATGGTGTGTAGGAAAACTCTGACGATCAATATTTTTGTATACAAACAACATGTAACATAAACATTTCAATGACAGTTAGAAACCAGCTGTTAGTTAAACCACCACTAAAACGACTTTAACTCGTCCGTCGGCTGCTAGACTTTTTGAAAATTAAAACTTAATTTCTAAAAAACTGGGACCCTAAACTAAAATTATGGCTTCGACATTACCTAGTTCTCAAAATTATCTTTCTTTCAACACAAAAATCATGAAAATCCGTCGAGTGGTTGATTCAGAATCGTGAAATAAAAAAAACACTGTTTCGTTTTAATATTATAGATATTAAATATCTCAATTTCTTTGAAAGAAAAGTACATTCAGGTTAAATATAACTAAATAAGTGGCCTAGGTATGAAGAGATATAATCTAAAGATTTAAACTCGAGAATATATTTGCATTACCGTTAAAGCTCTGATTTATAGCCTTATTGTTACAAACTACTATTTTTTGCCAAAGGCAACCAAACATGGATCCTCATTTCCGGGTTAGTACCTCTATTAAAATAACTGCTCTTTTGTTTACTTATGGGCCATCAACTGTGTTGTTTTATGTTTTGCTTGACACAACTAAGGAAGTTGACCTGGAAGAAAGGGAGCTATTTGAATATGAAAACAGTTTTGAATATTTATTTTTTTTATTCAAGGAAGATTGAACTATTTTATTAGATATAAAAAAAAGTCTGAAACCAAAGGCCAAGTGAATGATTGAAGTTATATTAACTTCTCATTTATATATATATACATATATATATACATATATATCTATATATATATCTATATATATATCTATATATATTACATGTTTTAACCTGTTTTATTAGTTGGATATATTTTGTAACCTTGTAATTTTAGTAAACTGGTGAAAAATATGTTCTAAAAAACTATTTGCTTGAAGAAGCTTAAGTAGAGATTGTATAACAATTTGTTAGGCATTTTCTACAGTTTGTGTGTGAATCTGCCCTTTTCCCTAAAGATTTTAGAACTATTCTGTGAAGAATTTTCTCAGGTGTCAATGTCTTTATTACATAAAAAAAACTGGCTGGGGCAATTTTCTGGATTGACTCTATGCTCACTTGGAATTTATAGAATGCAGTTGCACTTGCTCTTCCTGTTTTTTCCTACTTATGTGGGACCCGCACTGACTAATCTAACTAACTATAATTATTTCTTCCTATTTGATTTTATCATTTTTATAGAATTTTCCAGCAGTTAGCTGCTTCTATGTGATTTGAATTGATTTGATTTAATTTAATTTCATATGAAAATAACTGGAAACTCATGAAATTTTAAGATCTATAATGGGGATTAGGCTCCTATCATTGTCTTGATAATAAAGCAGAGAATAAAATAAAAATATGAAACCGTTTTGAGGTATAGGTAGTGTCAATTAGGATATTGTTTGGTAGAGATTAGGGAAAGGCTCTCAACAACACTGAGAATAACAGAACTCCACTACAAGCTGTGGTATTACATTAATCTGACGACATTAATTGTTGATTTCACTGTACACTACAGAACAATAAAAGCGAGGTTGGTAGGGGAAGAGTTCAGTGCCTGTGCTTGTGTGCCTGTCCCACTTGCCACTTGCCACTCTAATTGACACAATTCAAAATATCCACTCATTTACATCTTGTTATGATGTATTGGTAATAATACATTTACTACATGGTACGATTTAATATTCTACTCTTTACAACACTATATGGAGCTGAAAGAAATTGTAAAGTTGAGGAAATAGAGTAAATGCAGTTCCTGATGGATGGTTTATTCATCTTTGTGCAGTAACAACCCTTGTAAATGTTTGCAGCCCTGCTGGGGATGTATGGGCAAGGTTAGCAACCCTGGTCAACCTACTGGAGAAGGTGGATTGCCAACTTCTCTCTGAGCATCCTAAAGAAGGTACAGTCTATAATATTGTTGTTAAAGAATCTTTGAATTTATTAGAAGGTATCCTTATCTTAATACAAGGGTCCAATCGAGAATAGGTCAGAAATGGGGTCCCGAACTCATTCAAGAAATATGTATTCAGATATACTCATTCATGCCAAATTTAATAAAAATTTGACAAAAATTACTCACTATAGTGTTTACGGAAACATATACATTTATACAAATTGGTGCGAATAGTGTTTTTGGGCTCTGAGGACTTTAAAATCACAATTTAAATGGGTCCAGGATCCAGGAATAGGTCTTTATGTGCCGCCTGCAGTAATAGCTTCCTTCTTTCCTATAGGGAAATTTGCTAAAACACAAAATTGAAATAATATATTATGGTCACTGACCTTTTTGTCTATGACAAAGACATGAAAGATTAATAATAATAAGCTTCCTTTCTTTGCCATTGACAAAACGGTCAGTGATCATGAAATATTTAATTGTTGTGTGTGAGGCGGTTAATGACTAGGTATGTTTGACTGATGAAAGTTGTAACAATAACCCTCATATCGGATGGGTGCACCAATGCTTTCTAATTATAAGTATTAGTGATTCCCTCTAGTGGTAGCCTGAATCTCCGCATGTGTATGTAGGCCTACTGACAGCCCCTGACCAGATTGTTTATAAGTTTTTCAACTTCTGTTTGATGTTTCTGAGGTAATTACAGCTTCCATTACAGTTGTTATTGTTTAGTAGCTATTGTCTCAGTAACAGATCTGTGTTCTAACTATTCTTGGAAGTGTTGTTATTTTACACTTGTCAATTTTTACAGGTTTGTGTGTCTGTAAAGATATTATGCTATCTGCTTACAGCCTGTTAGCACTAACTGGCTTTACATGAAGTTAGTGGAGTGATATGCATTTTACTTATACTATTTTGTAATAGCTTAGGTAAATTCTTTCTTAGTTGCCTTATATTTAGAGTTAATTACTGTAGCCGAGTTACGAGATGGCCCCTGGAACCTGGCCTAGGGATTTTTTGAAGGCGTTACTGAGCTGGCAAACCATTGCCAAAAGGTTTTAACATATTTTGCCAGAAAATTAAATAAAGCAAACATTTTTAAAACAAACCTTTTATTTTGATTGTAACAAAAACTTTTTTTTTATTCTTCCTTGGAATTTTGTTATAATTTGTTATAAATGTTTATTGTTTTTGTGGGTTAATTCGTTAATTTCAATTAATATTGTTTTACAAACGTTAGGTAATGAAGTATTAAATGGTATTAAAATATACTTTTTAAAAATAAACAAATACATTTTGCTAATGAATAGGCCTAATGTATTATTTACAAACACCTTTTTCTTCTTGGAGTTGGTAAGTAATCAAAATTTCGAAATGAAAAAATGCCTGGAGATACCGTGGATTACTACCTACAGACCAAATTTAATCAAAATCGGACCACAGGTGTATGTCCGTAGCTCTGTACACATCCACACACACAGACATCACTTTGAAAACCACTTTTTGGGTTCAGGAGGACTCAAAATGGATATATCCACTCAAAACTCAAACTCGAAAATGTTAACGAAAACAATACTTTCTCCATATACGATGTAGGTATAGGGGTAAAAAGTAATAAGTTACTTGTTCCTTTAACTGGACAAAAACATAAAAATACACACTAGTTAGCTTTTGTTTTTAGCATGCCTGCTGTCAGGCTCTGGTAAAACGCCTTCAATTTTCAGCACACTTTACTCAACTACGCATTGTATTTTGGCCAAACGGGGGGGGCCATCTCGTGACTCGGCTGCAGTATTATGTTTGGTGCCAAAACTTTTTGTCACGTGGCTCTGATTCTTTAGTGGGATAATACTTAGTAATTATTACAGTTATATCATGTAACAACTTGTTTACTATATATTTCAAGCAAATGTTTATGTGTTAGCTAAAATTTTAGATAGGGTACTTGGTTGACATCTTTGGTGTAAACATGCCTTTAAATCTATAAACACATCTTACCTGAGTTTAAAACTGTTCAATTTAAATTAATTAATTTAAAAGGCTGAAAAGACAATTTTATAGCCAAATTTTGAGCGTTAAACTGAGCTTACACCCGAGCTATATAACTAAATGTTCAAAACTTTTAGTTACAAACTCCAGTTTAAAAAATTACTTACGGTATTCATTAACTTTAAAAATTGATTTAAACTTAAAATTGTCCTTGTTACAGGTTGCTTATGTTCAATGACTCTGAGAGTTCCCCTTCTTATACTAAGGACATACAAGTCATTATCATTGCTTGGCTGCAAGAGCATTATCTTTTAAGATGGTTAGACGTTCATTAGAGTTTCTTAGGGTTTCATGCCTTGGGTGCAGTTTTTTCTATAGTCTTGTTAGCATTTTTTTGTTGCAAATAATCCTAGATGAAGTTTGGATAAATTGATTTGTTATTAAATTGTGCAAATTTAGAATCAACAGACAAGTTTACATTAGTCCCGTAATGTTTCCCAACATGTTTCTTTTTACTGGCACTAAATGCCTAATGAAGAGCAAAATACACCCCTCTCAACACACCAACTCTTTTTAATGTGTTATAATTATAATAATGTTATGAGTCTTATGCTGTGGTGTTTCGGTGTTTGTCCAGATCATGTACAAGTGAGACTGCCCGAGGATGCCTCCCTAGCTGGATTCTTCCCATTGATGTGCAACTGCTCAGACCCTGTCTATGTCAACAAGGAGTGTAACATGGTAAGCATATCTTTAAGAATAAACTAGTTGTGATTGACAAAATCATTGTAATTGTGCGATCTAAACCTGTATTTCCAGATAAATACAAAACAAATTTGTCTATGTCATTGATATCAATGACCCTTAAAACACAAAATTTCCCAATTTCTCTCAAGATATTTTTGAATAGCTTAAAAAACAAATTATTTAGTATTCCAAAGTGTTTTTGTACAATTATTGGTAGCAGGCAAAATTCAAAAAATTTTAAATTCCCATGTTATTCTTATGGAGAATATTGTAAAATGTTGTAATTTGCTTGTTTATGGATATATTTTGATCAAACTTGGCACATTTATTTATCTTATACTAAGCTATTAATATAAAAAAAAAAAAAAAAAACACACTTTATCAGTTTCCTTGTAGCAGCAAACCTAGGTAGGTTACTTGTTAAACCTAATGTTGTTTAAATTTAATTGAAAATCCATTCAGACAAATGGAAATTCTCTTAGTCGGCAGGTATGCTGCGGCAAGAGTATTTTATTTATACTGGGGTTTATTTATACTTTATTTATAGTTGGGTCCATATTTTTTAATAGCCCTGTACCATAAGAAAAAAAAAATACCAAACACAAACAAACAACAACTGCAACAACAACAAATACAAACAAATGACTGATGATATTGACCAATTTATACTGTATAGTAAAAAATAATTAAAAAACCTCAATCATAAGAGTTTTTATAGTTAATTTACTCTATTGTGTTATTTTCATCTTCACAATTCAAGGTCTGTAATTCTGTGAATATTGTATTGGGAATAGTTGAACAAGATTTTGTCACATTTTCAAATCCAATAGAACAATATTTTGTTGTTTTTCGTATCTCTATGTAAGAATATACCAAAAGATAAAGCCGACAGGTTATATATATTGGTTGTATAATTGAATTGTAATTGTTTTGCAGGATGTAGCTCAAGTGAGTCTAAGGGTCAACAGGATCTTGTTCTGTGGGACAGTGTTTCTGTGTGGGGTTGATCCTCCTGTGTTGAAGCTACACAAGAACGATACTGGCAACAGCGAATACATCTCAGTGGTGGAAACTCCTAGTCCTCCCACTCAGGTTATTCATTGAAATCTTCCTATGGATTAGTAGCCGGGAACGTGCAACTTGAGGTGGTTATAGTATACAAGTCCCTTAACTTAAAACCACCCAGGTCGTCCGTAACGACATCACCAAAATGGTGGCTGTAAATGGATGCTGGGTCACCATGAGTTGGTTATAACACCCAAATGTGTGAACCGATTTTAATGAAATTTGGCATACAAGTACTTAAATGCATCATCTCAGCCCAGGTTGTCAATGGTCGAGTTTGATCAAGTCCTTTCAAAATTACGGCCGTTATTAAATAAAATAATACAAATGTTACAGTGTTTTGTGTTCTCAACTCCATCCAGAGATCTGTAGCAACCTAACACAAATAAACCTAAACATAAATAAACTGCAAGATTAAAAAAATAAAATAATATAAAATGTCACTAGAACATGTCTAAAGAAACAGCAATAACACTCCTCTTGCTACGTCTGCTAGAGCAACATTGAATATGGAAGGGGTACACTCTCACTGAACGTGGTAATACAGCTTCTCTGTATATCAGGATCTGTAAGTTTAGTTTTCTGGTTGCAGAGTGATGGAGAGTTGTGTGTGGAGAGTGTCAGTGGAGGTGATAGTCAGGACTCAGGACAGGCTTCTGATGATGACAATCAAGGTAATGTAATACCAATATTAAAAAAATAAACACTGCTATTTTACATAAGTGTATAAAGATATCACAATTATTAGCATTTTATTTTATATCTTTTTCTTAAATGCAATTGTTTGTATTTCTCTCGTTCCAATAAAATAGCAACATCAGCTTTATGCAATACTTATAAATTTAAAATCAATTTACTTCAAACCTTTTGCAGGTAACAAGAAAAAAATAATAAATTCATACTGTTTTGGTTCTTTTGTTCAAATTATGTCATTCATCTAACAGCATATACAGTAAAGCCTACTAACTCGACAATTTGTGAACCCAGAAGTTGTCGAGTTTGGGGTTGTCGTGTTATCCAGAACATTGAAGTTTTTAATGGGTATTAATTAATGATTACTTAAAATGATAATTTTTACATTTAAATTTACTATGTACATGAGTATTTTTACATATTTAGTGAACAATCTTCAAAGATATGTTGAATTTTCAACAATATAAAAAATTGTAAAGTTTAACACAATAGTAAGATAACGCCAGCTTGTCAGCTGTTCACTGTCGAGTTGCTGGGTGTCGAGCTAGTGAGGTTCTGCTGTACTATCTAGAGATTGGTCGATTCTTGATTCCACCGATTCTTGGCATTTAAATCACCACCTACAAATTAAAATACTGGATTTTTATAATATAAACATTGCTACACTATTCAGGAGTTTAGCTTGTTAAATGTGGCTGAGATATATATTACTTTAACACGTTCAGTGCGAGGGGCGGGAATTCTCCAGCCTGCAGTTGCCAGCCTGTAGCGTAGAATGCGACCTTTATTTTGGTGTAGGTTGGTACTAAACATTCCCCTAAAATCCAGTCTGGCAATGCTTTTGTCCCTTTTTCAGGGATTTTCTCTATTCGAGCCATATTACAAAGACTCTGGTTATTGATCCAGGCAGTGCTGCTTACCAGTTGGTGTTTCAGTGAACTACGTCCACTTTCGGGGTAACGCAGAACAATCACCACTGCTCTTTTGTGATTCGTCTTACTGAGATATTTCAATGCCAATAGTAATCGCTGATTCAGTGAACGTGTTAAAAAATAAGTCCAATGTTAACAAGAAGATTGACTATGAACAAGGAAATAGGGATATCAGCCAAAAGGGCTTATCAATATTAACCATGTAAACTTTTGGCTCAAGCAACAAATTCATTTAATCTTCATACAATAAGATAACTGCATTGCAGATATTGCTATTGATTTAGGCTACGTAGATTAGGTTAGCCTATAAGGAAAATAAGATGGTTCAAGAAGACATACATTTTAACGTAGCTTATTTTGGTAATTAAATTGAAACAACAAACACCGGTTTAGGACTAAAATTTTCACTGAGTTTTTTTTATAATGTTCAGCTCAGAGATATAACGATAAAAATATGGTTGTCTCTATACGGCTGTCTCTAATAGTTACCATGAAGCCCTAAATTAGTTTAACAGTTTAGTATAAGTATTTCTGTAAACTTAAGGATTTAATTTTTTTTAAGCTCTAGTTTTAATAATCCTATACTTAGGACGCCACAGAGAGCAACAACTTTTATTTTCAAGTGAAGAGACAGGACTCACTAAGTTCTAAATATAATTGTTTATTTTTTTGTTTTACGTTTGCCACGATTACTAGATAATGTGGCAACGTAGTTCCAAGTGAATGTATTATTTTGTATTTATTTGTTTGGAAGGAATAAACTCATAATTTCATGATTTCAAGTAAACCGGGGCTTTGATCACACATATATAAAAATAACAAACAAAACTTAGCGCCAAAACAAACTCGCCCGATTTCATACGATTTAATTTTGATTGATGCGTACAACACTTGTACAAATTAGAAAACCTGCCCAATATCGGGTGGGCGACACCTAGAGGGTTAAAGGATCAACCATTGACTACTGAAAAAGCGTGTTTATAGTCAAATATATTTTACACTATGATCAGCAAGTTATCAAGCTCTTTTTAGCTGCTCATAAAATGTACATCAAGCCTATCACGAGTTATACTAGAACACTCGAACCATTGACTATATACACTTTGTGTGTATTATACTTATATATTCAATGATTGTACCATCTGGCCAATCTGGCAACATCGTCCTCGATCTTAGAAGTCGACTTGCCCCGTCATGGGCAAGTAAAGCCCCTTCAATCAATTCAATCCGTATTGAATACAATGAGGCGAATTATCAAGTATTGGTGATTCTTCGATATCGCTGGTATCGAAGGTTTTGAGAATCGAAATCAACTATTAAAAATCTAATATTTATCTACATAAGTAAGAATTCAAAACATGCAGTGAAAGAGGATAACATAACATTTAACCTAACTAAAGCAATTGTAATTTGTGTGAGGATATTACACCTATATATTATACACAACCTATATACAATACTATATACAACCCCAACCTCTACAGTGTATTGAACAAACTGACTTACTTATATAGTTATTGTTCCAGAACTGCCTCGGAGATATCTGCAACAAGGCCGAAATATAAGAATATAACCACCCCCACATCTATGTGACTTTATAGGCAATGATAGTTTCTTCACAAGGTCCTATGATTCATTAGTTTTAGTGTAAGCTATTAGAAGGTATCCTTTGTTTAATGTAAACATGACATTTTTTGTAGACTCTCCAAGCCACATGTCTAATGCTCCTGGTGAGATACAAAGTTTACTGAAACGAAAACATGAATTGGAACGGTCGCATAGACAACAAGAGAGAAGGCGACAGAAAGTACAGGTAAGTTAAAATACACACTAAGATCAGCAGTTTATTTGCCACTACATCTTTAAACTTGTTAGCTTTTACTAGATCCTCTTCATCACAGTCCTTTAAATAAATGTATTGGCAGTAAATTAGATAATATTTTCCTTGAGGATAGGCTTGATAATCTGAGTAAATCAGAAAAACTTAAACTATTGCTTACATTTAAACTTTTTCAACAAATTTTAGTAAAGTTTGATGTCTATGTGTAGGAGATAAAAGAGCAGCCACATTACCTGGTGGCTGACACCAACTGTTTTATATACTAGTTGCCTCAACTACAAACCTTTCCCAAGGCATCGACGTCATCCCTGCCTAACATGTTCACTGTCTTGATTTACCTTGTTTATTTCCAGAGTATACTGCAGAGTTCCCTAGTAAGTGTAGAGATAGAAGTGCGGCCACACTATCTGGTAGCTGACACCAACTGTTTTATAGACTATCTGCCTCAACTACAAACCATTGCCAAGGCATCGTCATCATCCCAGCCTCACATGTACACGCTCATGGTGCCTCTAGTTGGTGAGTATTCCATTAAACTTTTATATGTGTCAACTTTCAATACCAAAATTTATCTGTTTTTGTTACTGATCCCTGAAAAATTGATCCTCAATTCTTGATACGGAACTACCGATACCATTATTTTTTATTTTACCTCATTTTTTATATACGTAGTTTGCTTATACTAAAATCTGCCTTTATATACTTACACAAAGTAATTTGGGTGCAGTGGGGTTTTTTAAGAAAAGAAATATTAAGCAGCAATGAAAATTCTAACTAGCCTATTTTAAACCGAACACTTCTAAACATATAAAATAAAAAATTATAACTAGAGATGTGCGAGGGGAATTTAAATTAAGCTGAGCTCAAAGAAATATTGTGATCATCTCCCGCAGCTGTGGAAATATCTTCAACTTCTTTTGAGTTTGGAAAAAAATGGTGAATATAATATATCTCACAGTAACAGAAACATCCCCATCAACTCCCAGGATAATGGCATAGTCCTTAATATATCCATTGGTTACGGGATCATCATCATTGACTTCTATGATCACAGCAAAACCCTGAATATCACCCGCGGTCATGACAAAATCATCTTCAATATCGGCCCAATCCTAAATATTCCTGCGGTTGTATGGGTATCAGCATTATCTTTTGCTATTGCAAAAAATCATGAAAATCTCCTGCTGTTGTGTCGAAATCATGATCGCCTTCTGCGGTCATGTAAACACTAAAGATGTAATCAGGATTGCGCCTAAATTGTAAATTGTTCGATTGTACATTCTTCACAGACCTGTTGGGTGTCGGAATTGGCTTCGCCTTATGATGATTGATTCTCAATACTGATACCAGTTTTCAAGAATTGCAAATCCTTAGTTCTATCACTGAAATTTGCTACAGCTTACCCGTTGAGAATGAGCCGCTCCCCACCACCCCCCTCCACTCGGATGCCGGACTGTACTCGCTTGAAAACCGTCAGATATTTCTGCCGCTCCCTGTAGGTTGCCATGTTGGTGACGAAATAACAAAGAAATATAAACAGAAAATCTAAACAAATGGAAGAAATTCTAATCCCATGTTTTATTTACAGTGTGAGGTGAAAATAGAGAAGTTTACACAATATTTTTGGTAGAGTTTTCAACCAAGATACGACCACATTAGTATTAGTATTAAATAATTGTATAAAATTTGTTTGTGAAATATTAGCCTAACTATAACTACTAATTCTTTGGTAGTACTTTTTTTTGTTTTTGCCTGTACCAGTTCCTAACCTAAATTTATCCTTTGAATTCGGCACCGGGACTGTTGGTAGCCAACTAAATTAACTCTGTAGTCAACAATAATTTGAAAACGTTCAATTTACCTATGACTTTATTTATCCTATGAAAATAATATGTGGTATCTGCCACTAATTCAACAGCGGCTTCTTCCCCACACTTTGTAGTGTTGGGACATTATTATCGATAGTCTTATCGGCCTTTAAACATCGATGTCAAAAAAATATCAAAGTCAAAATATCGATAAATATTGGAGAAAAACATCGATATTTAGTAACACATCGACCAAATGCTAAATAATTAAATATGTCATTTATATCTCTTTTCCATTAACAATTTTTTAGTTACAGGAGAATATAAATAGGTATAACAATTGACTATATTGTACCTACCTGTAGGTATAGTCAATGATATAACTAAAAAAGATTGCATCTCAAATTCTCTATGTCTTCTTTGTACTTATCGGACCTATCCAAAAAGGGCCGCTTTCCCCAATTATATATTAACTCTGATAATCGTGGTTTGGACTATATTTTAACCTCAGATTTAAACCTCAGGCTTAAAATAGAGAAATAATTACTTCCAATGCACCGATGGTGACAAGTGATGAAAATACATATCGGAGTAAATTATACTAATATATACGCTATTAACAAAAATATTGGAGTGAAATATCTAGTAATAATATCGGGGTAAAATATCGATACTAAAAATATATCAGAAGACAACTATTGATGGAAAAAACATCGACTATCGGCTTCAAAACATCGATATTTTCGATATATTGACTATCGATACTCAACACTAACACTTTGTAAAGAAAAGGGCATTGCCACCTCATTGATGTTAGCGGCTGCTGACTTGGTCGCCATTCTCGGTCACCTGATCCGTAATTCAGGCTAATTATGTGACGCTTAGCCGTCAGTGTTATACTGTGCCCTGAAGGTAGACCCATGTTCTGTTCGGACGGATATTTGAACAACAGTTCTTGGCAAAACTTCTAAATTTTAGACCTTGAGATCATAACAAATAAAATAATAATAATAATAATCATAACAAAATAAAATTACTTCCAGAATTTCATATTATGAACATTAAATAAAAGCTGTTTGTTAGCATATGTTGAATGTTGTACAGTGTTGAACGAGTTGGATGGCCTAGCACACGGCAGGAGAGACCCATCAGCCAGACCACAACACAGAGCCATGGTCACTGAGAGTGCAGCACTTGCACTGGAGTTCCTCAGGAGTAAGACTGGTCCTGGAGTGCGTTGTGTCACCACTAGAGGCACTGTACTCAACTCTGCTGCCTTTACTAGTGAAGAGGACTGCCAGGTGAAAATCAATTAATCTATTTTGGTTTATTTGCCCAGATAATCTGTGGCTTGTAATTGACTGATAAAGGCTGTATTTAATCAATTCACAAGATAGGCCAAGAAAACTTAATTTTGTAAACGACCCTATACAAGTGATATGTCAGAAAATGTCTACCTGGTAAAAAAGATAATATATTATACTATTTTGCACGAAGATAGTAAAGTTATAACACTTTTTGGTTTACCTTTGAAATTGACCCTTAATATGGTTTGTATTCTAATCTTATCTTAAACAATAATAATTTGAGGACAGAGGTTTTAAAGCATGAGGTTTAATGGTACATAAGTTAAATGATTAATATGGGGTTACAAAAAATTGTTCAGGGGTGGGGATTCGTGCTGGCCGAATCAAAAGATTTCCAATTTAAATTTTCAATGAGTATGGTAAATTATAAATTTAATAATCTTTCAAAAACAATAAATTAAATAGGAAGGATTTTGATTTTAATTAATGGAGGTAAATAGGGTCCAAATGGATGCTTGAGGAGTCTATAAGTTAGTCTGAGTTAATAAATGGAATGTTCTCACCAATCTTCTGTAATAATAATTTTCTTCTTAGTTTAAAGGCTTAAATTCTTCTTTCTTCGGTTAACTTAATTTGGATATTTTGCCAATACTTTACTTTATATTTTCATAATTTATTTCACAACTAATATATGTAGTTTCTATGTGCTCTTCTTGAATAGCTAAACTGCACTCTCCTTTTCATTGTTGTAAATCATATCAAGTTATGGGGTTCACATCAATAAAAACATGGTTGAATTTTATTAATAATCTTGAACCCAGATGGATGGTGTTCTGATTGGAGGATTTGTTTTTGAATAATAATTTTGGATAAGCCAATGAATAAATTTTGATAGTAAATTATATATATGTTGAGACAATATGGTTTTAATAATATTAAAAATGGACATGGATAAATATTGAAAATATAACAAGATTGAGTTTGAAAATAAAATAAGGACTATAATTATAAACATTGAATTTTGAGTCATTACAATATCCCCTCAGAAAATATGTAATTACATTTTTAATGACATATTTTCGCTAAATGACGAAAAATATATTTAACATTATACAGCAAATAACAAATATTGAGATGAAATTGAGTTGAAACAAAAATCTAACAAACTTAACATTAAGGTTTAACTAGAACAAATTTCAGTTGGAATGAACATAACAATAAAATAATTCTAAAATAGCAAAATGATTACTATCCCCTCCTATCTTCTACAAACATTAAAAAACATAACATTAATTTAAGTGGTTAAAACAATTTTTTTTTATTTTTTACATAATAAATGAATGGAGTGATGAACAAATGTTGAAATATGAAATGAACATGAGACATATAAGAGATGTATGATTCTTATAGGTACCATGGAGTACATTAAATGAATAGTTGTTTGTGATTGCTTGATGATAACCTCTTATAACTAAATACATTAAATTTGTGATTATGACTATAGTTTAACTATTGGGACAGAGGTAACTGGAGAAATTGGCTTGTTCACTCACTGCTTGTGTGGGTATGATTTAAAATTCTTCCCTTTTACAGCAATGTTTATAGGGTTAAGCACACATTACAGTTTATCTTCTATCTTCGGTTGTGGTGTGTAGATCGGTTCCATGTATTTCTTCATGGAGGATATATGATAGGGTCCATATAATTTATCATTGTAGAGATCACTTATGTGGTATGTTGATGGTCCTCGGCTTCATCTACAGTGACGGGTCGTTTCCCTGGCTGGTGTATGAGGGGTTGAAATTTGTTGGAGATCTTTGTTGTGTTGCTGTGTCATGTGGACTGTCTTGACTTATCATGGCACATACTTGTTTTTGCTCATTTGTAGGATATGGTTTGCTGTTATTGTAATAGTATTGATTAGGCCTTTGGTGGTATCGGTTTTGATCAGTGAGCGTATTGGTATAAGGATGCTGTCTGTGGTTTTGATTGTAGTTTTTGCGAGGATCATGTCTGAAACGGTTGTATGGCTGATATTGGTGTTCTCTAGGTTCTTGATGTTCTTGGTGTGGTGTCCGTATAGCATAAGATGATGTTTTTGGTTGATAGGCTCGATGGTTAATATCAGAGCTATATGGTGGAGTCTTGTTACGATGTGTAGGACTATTTGGTCGGTGATCCATATTATGGTAGTTCGCAGGTTTGCTCCTTTTGGGTCCATCTCGGATATCTTCTTTTTGCAGAAGTCTTTCGAATGCTCGAATTGTTGTCACGTTCTGTACTTGAATGCTATCTTGGATGAGTTGATCAAATCGTTCGCTTAACAGGATCACTATTTCCTCTTCAGTCATTTGTGGTGTAATAGACTGTAGCAATAGGACTCTCTCAGTAAAATATTCAGTTCTGTTGAGCGTTCCATTAGGTTTGTAATGTTCGGCTTCAATCTTGCTACGTACTCCTCTTTGTACTTCACGGCTCCAGTATTTCATGGTGAATTCTTCGGAGAATCTTTCCCAACTGTTAATGTCTGCCTTAACCAGTTGAAGCCATCTGGACGCTGGTCCTTCAAAACTGACGTCGAGCAGATCTTTCAGAATTTCAACAGGGTCGTTATTAGGATTTCTTTCTATCCTTTTAGCGTAGAACCGTTTAAGTTTTTGTAGATATTCATTTGGATTTATAGTTCTTCCATTGAATTTAGGGATTTGTCTTTCCATTGGGTCAGATCCCGAACATATGATTTGAATAGGATTGTCGTTCCGGATTGGTGAATGATGTTTCAGTTTTAGTGACTGTACTTCACTTTCACATTTGTTTAGAGTTTCAGTAATAGTTTTAATTTCGTTTTGTTGTTCTTGGATAAGATTATTTTGTATGTGTAATTTAGGTACAATTTCATTGTGGATGGATTGTGCATAATATTTAGCAATATTTTCACTGTCGGTTTTTGTTTGTAGCACTAATGCTTTCATATTTTGTTCTAACTTTTGTTCTTGTTGTTCCAAGTTATTAGTTACAAATGTCTGGATATTTATTTTTGATTCGTCAATTTGATTTGTGATTTGAAATTGAAATTCTTTGTTCTCTTGATTTTGGGACTGTTGGTTAGCTTTTAGGACATTTAATTCCTGGCGAAATTCACTTTGTGTTGTTCTAATGTCATTTATTTGTTCTGTTAGAATTTTTTGACATGATTTTATCTCACGGTTTAGCTCTATTCGGGTCTGATCTAATTTTTGGTTTAGTTGTGTGTTGGTTTGATCAAGTTTAGTGTTAAACTGTTCTAGAAAATTAAATATTTTGTTCAAATCCGGTTGTTCAGTAGTTTGCGTAGCTTTAACTTCAGGTGGTTGAGAAGTTGCGTGTGTGAACGTTGGTATTACGTCATTGGGACGGTTTTCAATGGTCGGAGACTAGGTCTCTAACAGCTGGAAACTTGCTTCGGGCGTCTTCGTTAACCCTCGGATGATTCCGTGTGTCGATGTGGTTCTAATATCAGCTGACTGTGAATGTGTGCTTTGATTGGCTGCGGGTCTTTGGTGTACTTCAATAATCTCGGCCCGGTCCGTTGATTCTGATTGGTCGCTCTCGTTCCGGTTCAAATCTTCGACACTGGGTCCACTGGGATTGAAACGTTCCGAACCCGAACCGGTGTTAGATTCATCTTGGCCTTCTACATAGGTTAGGTTTTCCATTTCTTCTGTTGACAGATTTGACGATTCGTCTGATTCGTGTTGTTGAAATGATAATGCAGGATAACGTCTCGGTTGTCTCAAATTATAGTGATTATCGTTATCGTTGTTAGCCATTTTGTTTACGACGGTGTAAGGGAACAGGGATATTATAGGACAAGTTGGGTATCGTTATAACAATAATGAGCTAGGCCTAAGCTTTACGACATGAAATAAATCTGTTTTACCTTATAGTAGCCTATTTATTTTTAGAATTACAAGTCGTTTAGTTAGTACCTAATATTGGTGGGACATAAGTTGTGGGAAATCGGGATTCTTAATCCTACCTAACTTCTTAAGAGTAGGCCTAACATACGTAAGTAGCCTATTAGCCTATTGGTATTTATTAGCCTATTTTAGATTGTCTCAACATACGATTATGAAATCTTTTGATTCAAGCCTATTACGTTGGGCGCCATTGAAATAAACCCTTAATATGGTTTGTATTCTAATCTTATCTTAAACAATAATAATTTGAGGACAGAGGTTTTAAAGCATGAGGTTTAATGGTACATAAGTTAAATGATTAATATGGGGTTACAAAAAATTGTTCAGGGGTGGGGATTCGTGCTGGCCGAATCAAAAGATTTCCAATTTAAATTTTCAATGAGTATGGTAAATTATAAATTTAATAATCTTTCAAAAACAATAAATTAAATAGGAAGGATTTTGATTTTAATTAATGGAGGTAAATAGGGTCCAAATGGATGCTTGAGGAGTCTATAAGTTAGTCTGAGTTAATAAATGGAATGTTCTCACCAATCTTCTGTAATAATAATTTTCTTCTTAGTTTAAAGGCTTAAATTCTTCTTTCTTCGGTTAACTTAATTTGGATATTTTGCCAATACTTTACTTTATATTTTCATAATTTATTTCACAACTAATATATGTAGTTTCTATGTGCTCTTCTTGAATAGCTAAACTGCACTCTCCTTTTCATTGTTGTAAATCATATCAAGTTATGGGGTTCACATCAATAAAAACATGGTTGAATTTTATTAATAATCTTGAACCCAGATGGATGGTGTTCTGATTGGAGGATTTGTTTTTGAATAATAATTTTGGATAAGCCAATGAATAAATTTTGATAGTAAATTATATATATGTTGAGACAATATGGTTTTAATAATATTAAAAATGGACATGGATAAATATTGAAAATATAACAAGATTGAGTTTGAAAATAAAATAAGGACTATAATTATAAACATTGAATTTTGAGTCATTACACCTTTTACAGGATATGACAAATGATGATAAAATCCTCACAACATGCTTAAAGCTGTGTCATTCATCCAACAAGGAAGAACAAGTGGAAGGTATGTTTGAAAAATTTTCAGAAATGTTACTTAACAATTACTATCTTGAACATACTCTGTTGAGGCATATATCTAGAAATGATAGGCTTCATAGGAAATGAAGTTAACAAAAGTGTACCTCTTCTCATGAAAATCATAATCCTACTCGTTGGATACTGTTAAGTCGATGATATGATTTTTAAGTACAATGAGGCTGTTTCCTGACTGTATTTCTCATAAGCACTTATTGTCTGGAAGTTGCAAGTTGAAGCCCCTAAGCGCTTGCTTCATCAGGGCTTGACGCATTTTTGCGCACCAATCGTTTAATTTCTTAGCATAATACATTGAAATTTATTCAATTAACTGAGAAAATTTTGTTCACAGGTAACTATATACTTTTTAACAATACTACACTGAATTCTTTAAAAACAGTGGTTACAGCCATAATAATTTAAACAAGTATACTCTTTTCTTTCTATTCAGATAGCACTTATCCACCTGTAGACAATAACATCCTATGTTTGTTCTACAGGGTGCCCACGCAAGCTATGGAGAGATGTTGTTCTGTTGACAGAGGACCGCAATCTCAGGGTGAAAGCTTTAGCAAGAGATGTGCCAGTCAGAGAGGTAAGTTTTGTCAACAAATAAGCATATAGTGCATTCTTATTCATATGTTACCCTGCTGTTTATGTGTTCTTTTTATTAAAATACCTAAAGCTTTTTTTGGAAAGAAAATAATATAGACATGTTTAAAATTAGAATTGAAGCATTAGCTGATTTTACTTTAAATAATCTTTTTAAGGATCTAGTGTAAAAAACTTTGTGGACTGCTCTATTTAGTGCTAGAACCATCTCCATTGGTGGTTGTCACTTACTTGATGGTATTGTCAAAAATTTAATTTAAAGTTATATGACATTTTGTTATTTCCCTACCATGCAACTCACTTGTGCATTTCAGGAGATTTTTTAAAAACACTCTTCTTACCATATGAGTTCATAAATGTACATATACAAGTACGATTAGACACACTCAACACCATTGACATAATAATCATGTCACTGTCTGTAGAAACTCAGGCATCATTGAAGTGTGATGATCAGAGAAGAACAAAATTATCTTTTTAAGCACCTTCACCTTTATTAACTTGTCAAAAATTCAATTCCCTGTTACTAATGTCAAGTCATATAAGTTCTCACTATCATCAGTCATCAGTATCCAATAATTGGATACTGAAGCTATCTGTATATCATCTATCAAATGGTATAAAATATAAATATGATTTCATATATCATATAAAGTATCACTTCAAGGAAATTAATAGGCCTAATTTTTTCTTATTTTAGGTGGCTGATTTTTTACAATGGGCAGGATTAGAGTTAGGCTGAACGTTTGAACTAGTTTGTTCTTTAAAGAAACTGAGCTAATCACTGCTGTTGGACCATTGCTTTGCTCTTCCTCAGGTAAATAGCCTACTTCAAAAGTACTTTTAACAAATAATTACACCAAAGTCATGAAGTGACTGTAACAGTTCCATGAAGGCCCATTACTGATGGTGTTTACTATTTTAAATTATTAAAATATGTTTTTGGTGAAACGATACTATAGGCTACTTAAATATTATGAATAGGGTTTAGTTTTTTACTGAATAAAAACTGATGATATATGTGGCTGACTTGAGCTGCAACATATATGAGAAACCTGAAACTAGATCGCTTCATCAGTGTCTGGCATTTTTCTAGATGGATGTAATCATAGACAAAAAGAATTAAATATAGACCGTCAGCTGTGCTGCGGTTACCATAGGTTCTGGTGCACACCGCTTGGAGCGCCATGTAGTTACGGCGTACGCGCTACGGAAACTACAGCGGTGTGCGCCGGAACCTATGGTAACTATGGTAACCGCAGCATGGCTGACAGTCTATATTTAATTCATCAATTTTATTTTTTAGAAGCAGCATTAGTGAGTTAACTGCAAAAAGACTAGGTTTGGATGATTCTATCACTGAGTTAATAAAACACTCCGATAATTAAACTGTGGGTTCTTGAAGTTTTTAACAGACTCTAAGGGTGGGCGAGTAGTGGTTTTTCAATTGGAGTCAAGTAGTTGCGCGTAAATTAGGCCTAAGCCTAAATAAAAATAGGTAGGCCTAGTTTTTAATAGCTTCTTACATTTAAGTATACACCAAATTTTCTAAGTTATATGCTTACTATTTACTAATTGCTAGTATTAGGCCTAATGAAAATTGGTCTAGCCTACTTGTTGGCTGCAGCATTAAATGTACCAGGGTGTCCACCGACCTGGAAAACCGGGAATTATGCGTGATTTTTTTTAACCAGGAAATTATGCGCGAATTTCGTATTTTATTTTCAGTTTGCCGCGATCGCAGATGAAAATGATGTTTCTGTGATCGCACATGAAAATGACGTTTCCATGATCGCGGCAGACGACGATGACGTTTCCGGGACCGCAGGAGACGACGATGACATTTCCGTGACCGCGGGAGATGATGATTATGTCCTAACGGCCGTGGGATTTTTTAGTAATTTTGCTGCGATCGCACATGACGACGATGACGTTTCAGTGACCGCGGGAGACGACTATGATGTTTCCGTGACCGCGGGAGACGACGATGATGTCCAAACTCTAAACGACCACGGGATTTTTTAGTGATTTTGCTGCACATGACAATGACGTTTCAGTGACCGCGGGAGACGACTATGATGTTTCCGTGACCGCAGGAGACGACGATGATGTCCAAACTCTAAACGACCATGGGGTTTTTTAGTGATTTTGCTGCACATGACAATGACGTTTCAGTGACCGCGGGAGACAACTATGACGTTTCCTTGACCGCGAGAGACGATGATGATGTCCAAAAAGCTGCATGATTTGTTAGAAGAATTGATGATAACATTTCTTTGATCGCAGGAGACGATTATAATGTTTCCATTACCGCTGAACAATACCAGGATTTTGTCACGATCTCGGAAGACAGTGGTGATGTTTCCGTTACTGAGGGAGTTTTTCAGGATTTTCCAGTTATCGCGGAAAAGGATGACCATCATGTCTCTATGACAGTGGTGAATGATCACGATATAACATCGAGTTCGGCTTGACCAAAAATTTCAAAATGGCAAATTCTGGAAAGTTTGATTTTATAGTTTTTGTAATATTTTCATTTACCTTTAAAGTGGTATTTAATTTAATGTGTTTGGAAAGGTTTAAAACGTAAATTGGCTATGTGAAATTTTTGTAATTTCTGCATTAATTATTTCTGTAGGCCACTTGAAAAACAACCCATAATTCAAAAATTACATACTATATAAAAATTTGGTAACTAAAATTAGGCTATCAGTACAGTATTGAGAATCTATTTTTCAGGTGTCGGTACTGAGCTTCGATAAGTTTTGGTATCGACATAAAATCACTATTTTTAATAGGGATGGTCAAGTCTCGAAATTTCGGGAAATTTTTAATCTCGTTACACGAGACAAGATTTCTTTTTGGCCAAGATTTTTATCGAGACGAGAATTAAAAAAAAATTTAAATTTAAAAACTCCTGCAGAAAGTCAATGCAATACCCGCAATACAGTGCTGTATACAGTGCATATAGTGTTGTAGTTGCGTTTCCTTTGCGAAGGCGTTCTTATTTAATTAATTCTTTAAATGTAAATATTACTTTAATTATTTAAATAATATTACTTTAATAACATTTGATAAGTTTTGTTAAGTGTAAGCAGTGTGAGGAATGTTTTATTACTATAAAAAGTCAAAACAAGTAACTATTTTATAAAAATTAATATTGCTTTTATTTTATGATTTATTTTATTTTAGGATAAGTTGAACTCTATCCTAACTGATATCACTATGTTTTCTAATCGTAGGCATTTTTAATAAGTTAGGCGTGATTAATAAAAAAATGTTATGCTGATGTTTTTTAATAAAATATTGTAAATATTCTTGCCTATTATCATTATTTTTGTATATAAACAGTCATCTAACAATGTTACAAAATCAGGTAAAAATTTTGAACATGTATTTCCCGTTGTGTATGAGAAGGGAAATCCCGTCTCGATCTCGTCTCGAAATTTTATGAGAAATAAAAAATCTTGTCTCGTCTCGTCTCAAACTAAAAATCCAATCTCGTCCATCCCTAATTTTTAAGAAGTTATTAATAAATTCAGGTTTAAGGATTAGTTTTGAATTTTCTGATTATTTAATCAGTAATATATATTAGTAATATATATAATACTTCTGTCAGGCAATATTACAGTAATCATAAATTTTGTTTCTTTAACTGAGAATGCCTTTACTGATAACAAACATAGGGAAATCTTTGACCATTATGGTGAATTTCAGAAAAATTATGATAAAATTGGTATAGCTTTTAATTCGTAGACAAAAGTTAACAGTTTGACTAATTTAAATCATGTTTACATAAACTCTTTAGAAAATGATACTTGGTTTACGCCACTACCACAGTTGTAAAAATACAAAACTTATCGTCCATTTGGCAACACTGCAGTGAAGTGGAACTGATCTTTCTGACAAGACCGAATGAGAAAAGTCATTCCGATGCATCGATGTTCCTTGCTAACTATCGGCTTCTAAAACTAAACAAACACCAATACCGATTAAAGTGAAAAAATACCATGCAATAATAGTTTATTTTTATTTGTTGTATTAATATATTTAGGTATAAAATATGTTAATGGCAACTTAAACTAAATCTAATACAGTACTGTACTTTATAATATCTTCAAGAATCATCTTCCTACAATTTACTAATCATGAGACTCCCTTGTTGACTATAGACTACTGTAACTCGATAGATTAATTCAATGCTTTATTTTGTTTAACTTACCGTATCGTTATCAAGACGTATTGTTGACTTGACTCTTGACTGTTGTAAGAAAGTAGTAGTAGTCCTCTTGCTAGCTCTGCCGAGTGACAATATGGATGGTGGTTTGTTGAACATTTAGTTTACGCTATATTAAGTTATATAGTTATTTTTTGTAGGAATGGGGATTAAATAAGATATCAACACAATTCAAATATAATTTATTAAATATGGGCATAGAAAATCGTGAAGTGGCACTCTTTATAACTACTCGGCCCGACTCTGACGGGTAATTTTACTACTCGTCTCGAGCCTCGGGTACTTATAAATATTCGAGTAGTACCTGAAACTCGAGTACTCGCCCAGCCCTGATGGTTGGATAAGACATTGCCTCCCTTGGAGTGTTGTATTGAGTCATAAGGAAAGAATATATACCTAAAATATATTTAACAAATAATTTTGGTGTAGCAATTTGTCTATAAAACTGTTAGTCAAAAAATGAAGTTAATTCAACAAAAATAATATTGATACTTACCCTGTAAACTTAACTCAATTTCATAGTTGTTGTGTTGTTGCGTATGCAAATTTAGTGTCACCTGGAGTCATAGAAGAGAAGTTTTCATTTCAACACAAGTCAATAACTGTCTTATCTTTTTTAAAGTGAATCATCACAAATGTGTTGTGTTTTTATTTTGCAGCCACTCAAGTGTAGTTCACTCAATTGAATGAAGTTTGGCAAGAAGCTGACTGCCAACAGCTGTTCATCATCATTTCACACACTTGAACACACACTTTTCAAACCATCTATTTAAACTAGCTAATGAGACCGAGTGTAAAGCAAAAAAGAGTTTGTTAGGTTTTATTTTATTTAGTTATTATAAACCACAACCACTATAACAACTTCGTTAAAAGTAAAAAATTCTGTGTATTGTTTTTTCTTTGTTATAACTTTAGAAACTTTTTTTGTGCCTTAAAAGTGTTAATTTTAGTAGTCATGGTGATATACCATGGTGTTTTTAGTGCAATCACATTGTTTACACAGGCAGGCCTTTTGTCTAACTTGATTGATATGACATGATTTTAATAGACAAAATGTGTTTTTACTTCAAATAGTTTATTATGACTTTTCATATAATAAATATCATATAATAATATATGATAATAAATCAATTTTGTTTTGTTATATGGTGATAAATGCTGTATGCTGAAGATAACAGATAGTCAAATTCAAATATAATCTATCTGATTGAAACTCTTAAGTGATTTTTATTCTATCTGGCTTGTGGTAACTAACTTGAAGTTGAGATGTACGATAATGTTTTACAGTATTTAAATAATCACTCTAAAAAGTTAATTTACAACTTTATAGACTGTTAAAACATTTTGTTATCTAGTGTTTTTGTTTTGCTTTCTACCTCTAATAAACCACAGATTTAGACATAAAAATGCATTTGTTTGTTAAATATACTTGAAAATCTACAAATGCAGTTGTACTTAAAGAAGTTGTCTTGGTATTCTAACTAATCATTAATCAATATATTATCCCTAAATTGATTAACATGTTGAGATTGATTTCTCAGTGTTCTCTCCATTACTAGTTTATGTAGTTCCCATAAGGTGATGAACTTTAGGCTTAGTTGATTTTGATACAGAATTTGTATGTTTAATTTTCTTAATTAAACTTTCTTTGATATCATACCTACCTTGTGTGAATAAGAGTATAAAATAACAAGTGTAGTAATGTTTATTTCAGCAATGTTAAGTTTTTTGTTTAGTTTCATGCCATATATATTATGAAGAAGGAATGTACCCATCATTAAATAAAATAATTAACTGCAAAAATGTTTTGCTGTGGATAAATCTTATTTATTATATAAGATCACTATTGAACATTGAATAACGAGTAGACAATGTTATACCATTTTTAATTTTCTTACGCAATAATATTTTTTTTTTTAATTTTTTAAATAAGATGTTTTTATCTTTATCTGCTTGTGCTTCAAACAATTTCATGTCGTTTTGAACACAAAAGTTTTTGCATCTAGACAACTCATAAAAATGTTACATAGCAAGATACTTCCGTTATTGAACATCCTTTTGCTTGGCGTTTGTACATTTAGCTTTAAACATTTGATTGTTTTTGTAACGGCTTTAATCACAGATGTTGTCACTAGGGCCTAAAGTGACTCTTTTCAGCCCAAGGTCAAGTTTAACTGGTAAATGAGCAGTGGTTGTTTTTGACCAAGTGATGAACTAAACATATTTTTGTCATGCTGCACCGTTCTTTATACTAAATTATATTCAAAACAAAACATAAACTCTGTACATTGTTTCCCTTTATAAAAATTATCTCCCAAAATCTTTTCCTTCTCATTTTGCTATGATACATGAACAGATATTACTGTTATTTAGATGCAATATATGTACCCCGTCGATACTGATAAATTAATACAGTATTTTATTGATGAAATTCTTTCACATTTCAGTTTGGCTGAATGTCGAATAAGAGATATCTTTATCGTGAAAAGGGGAATTTTTAAAATTTAATGTTTTTTTAACATAAAAAATTACTGCTCCATACTGGCAGCTCCGTACTTGGCCTGTGCAATGGCGCCACTTACCGGTGTCATTGGTAAACAGAATGGCGCTATTTACAACTTTGTGTCTGATGTGTTCACTTTGCTGTTTGTTAAGACAATTTTTTAAATTATTGAATCTCACGCTACATGCATCTAGGTCAGTGATACGTTTTGCCACAAAGAAACGAATGAATAATGATTTTTCCCCCTCAAAAATAAACATTTAACAAAAATAGTTCAGCTCAGCAATTAATTGATCACTTTATTCAGTAGTTGTGGTCAGTGTACACAAAAACTTGTCCTAATCAATATCAACATAGAGTTCAGTCTTATCAGGCCATTACTAAAATTGTCACTCCTGCTGCTACCTGTAGAGTTAGGACTACTTAAATTAATATGGGTCTACTTTAAAATTTTAACACAATTCTTTGACTGCCTGAAATATAAACAATAAATACAATATATCTAAAACTATACTATTATAGTTTAACAAGAAAGGTGAAAACTAATTATTTTACTTTAAAACATTCCCGAGTAACGACGTATCACTTGTGTTATGTACACATTCTATCAACCTATTACAAAAACTATTGAGAGAGTTACTTCTTTGCGACATTTATCTCCTGATGACTGAAGGTTTTATGGTCCTAATGCAATGATTGAGGCTAAAGTGCAGTAATGGGTTAGGGAATGTAAATATGACCATGAAAACCTTTTTCTTTCGTGTTCTTCTGAAAGAGGTCTACATAACCACCAAAAACCAAATTCCATCCGAAATGCAAATTGTCGCGGCCTTTTTAAATCTCCCTTACCCTTACTCCATAGGGCTCAGGGCCATTAACTTCAGTCAGCTGGTGTTTCTTTCTTGCAGTCAAAAACATATCACTGACCTTATCTAGTATGCGGTGGGAGATTAATTTTTTTTAAATTTAAATTTGCTAGATTCACGGCAAAGATTACATGTCAGATACAGAGCTACAAATTTCGCCATTCTGATCACAAATAATGCCAGTAAGTTGAAGGAGCCTTATTACGATGTACGCCCAATCTTAGAAGCTATTTGCACAAATGGCCCTTACTTAAAAAACTACCCTCGCACTTGTTGTTAATCGGGACTATTTTTTTCTGCAAAATTGGCAGACCAATTGTACAGCTATAAAGAGTTTAGCTGATGTTCTCTCAGCTGTTTCATTTTCGTCTTTGTGAAAAAAGACCAACTATAAACCAGCAACGCATGTGATAAAAACAGCTTTTTCGTCATACTGCAACAAAATCAGCCTTTTTTAATGCATATGTCGCGGGTCTAACGTAGCATTTTTATTTACTCTTTAGGGAGTAAAAAGGGTTGTTAGCCCCTTGGGTGTAAAAATCAGCTGTTGTCAACTCAGTTGTAAATTTTGATAGTAAACAAAATTACATGTATCAAAAATATATATTGATTGTTTAATTGATAGTAGTTAATTGTTGCCTTATTGTAAATAGTTTGACATATCGAGATTATAATGTACACTAACACAATCGTAATAGATGAAATGATTGAATCACTTTAGCCTTGGTTTCTCTGAACCACGCTGCGTTATTGCGTGATCCGTGATTTGTGATACGCGGTAATCATGCGTGCATGATAAAAAATAAGGGTGCTTTCTATGACTCCATCCTTGCAGCGCGTGATTATATCTTCAGCCATAGACAACATGGATGTCAGACTCGTTGCCGTAGCTTTGCTGCTGGAGGAGGAGGATAGTGAAGAAAATTTACTAGTGAATTTAGTAAATGAGGACTCTTTGGCATAGAGAAGAAGGGTGTTTTAGAACTCTGATTACCAGGTATTTAATTGAATAATGAAACTAAGTTTAGGGAATTTTTTATGCTTTCAAAACAGTTGTTTTGAGTATGAGTATGAGTACTACGGTAATAGCTTATGAAGCACGTGAAGTCAGAGAAAACACCCCCGTAGCAATAGCTGCAACAGACTTTTGCGTGATTACATCATCGCGGATCCCGCATCCCGCAGTGACGCTGCGTGATTCAAAGAAACCAAGCCTTTAATAAGCAGCTGCTTGTTTCCATTAGCAAATTAAATTGAAAACAAGGTAGAAATAGTTTTTAGAGGGTACCCTTAAATGAAAACTATCTTAACATAGTTTGTTCAAGTAATGGTGCAATATGACAAAAAATCTAGTTCATCACATGGGCAAAAAGTCTCTTTTCAACCCTCGCTCATTTTCCGACCTCGCCTTTTCCTCAATCGTAAAACTTGAGCTCAGCTTGAAGAGTCACTTTGGGCACTAGTGATGAAATATACTATTTTCTGCTATATGATAGAAAAATATTGTTTTTAAAATCTTGATTAGGTGTTAACATAGCAATAATAGTACGAATTTCTGTAATATTTTAAAAGTACAAATGCATTAGCCTACCCAGTAAATATTTTGTGTCTGATGATTTTATTGAATAATATTTAGCCTTATCTGTGGAATTGAAGGTAAAAATCTTGCGTCATGCTTACAGTGCAAGATACAGGGTGGGGCAGGGAAATATCCCTACTTTTAAGATGGTACTGTGAGTAGTGGGGGTGTGCTGGAGGAATGGGGTTAGGCTCAAATGAAGCTTTTGATTTGGGAATTTCTAAAATATCACTATCAGTAGTAGATATGGCTTGTTCGAGTGACCAATGTGCTTTTGCACTGGAGATGTATTTTTTTTCTAAAATCTGTCTATTGTTGCTGTGCAGCTACCATTGGCTGTCGGGTTATCGGGTGGCCTGTCGCAAAGCTGTTACAATTAGGTGTTGGTGAATTACTTTCGTGTATGTGGTGGTGTATTGCGAAGGATATTTGGAGCTCAAAGAATGGTCCGGAGTCCTGAAAACATTGACCTTGTCAGAAGATCGATTTTGCAGTCTCCTCAAAGTTCTCCTTGTAAGCATGCATCCGCGCTGGCGTTGTCTAATCGTACTGTGCCCTGTATTCTCCATGAGGACTTACACCTCCATCTATACAAGAGGGTAGTTGCTCATGAACTCACACAAAGGGACTGGCAACAACGAATGCAGGCATGTGAAATCTTAATTGCGGGACTACCTCATGCTGCTCGGGTTTTGTTTAGTGACGAGGCACACTTCCATATTCCTGGAGCGGGTAAATAAGCAGAATGTGCTCTATTGGAGTGATGCTAAGCCTAGGGTAGTTCAAGGAAAGACCCTAGATGCCTTGAAGGATGCAATTCACCTTGAATGTTGCCTCTTTCCACAACAAATGCTTCATAAAGTTATTATGAACTCCAGAACCAGAATACAGTAATGCATTTAAGATTAGGAACACAACTTGCAGGATATGCTGTTTAAAACCAAGTAAAGATATATTAAAATAAACTCCCAGATGTAACCTTTTAATCTCAATAAAAAGTTTGGCTCTAACATTTTTGGTTGTCTTTTAATTTACCTTTAAAATTAGGGATACTTCCCTGCCCCACCCTGTACTAGTGAATACTAAGAGTAAACTTGAGTGTAGTTTGAGAATGGTCCACTAGTAACACCTTTGAGCCTTAATGCTGGTAATTTTAAAGTGTGGTTTTCTTGTAATGAATAAAAACAATGTTGAAGAATAATGTAACTCTTTTTTAAATATTGAATTTTACACTCTTGGATAATTTACACGTCTAATAAAATTAATTGTAATACCAATCATTCTTATTATAGCTTTGATGCCTGGCCAATAGCAAAGTACAAATCAGTGAATCTGTTAATTATGGTACTGTAAATTAATAAGTTGCAAATGAGGGATTATTTTAGTAACTAAACTCCGTTCACAAAATTTAGTCAGTATCAGGGAAAGCGATTTCATCCCCTCAGCCTCACCCTAACATTGAAACAGCAACTGACAGCTGATCAGTCTATATATAGATTAAGCTAAACAAGTGGTGGGGAACCTAGGAAACCATTCCCCTAATCCGCCTAAATTGTATGAACGGACTATAACTAGTTTTAATATTATTATTACCAACTAAGATTGGGATGCCACCTGGGTGTGAATTTTAACCCAAATATGAATGTAGAATGGAGTGAGATGCCTTGTGTAGATTTTTTACTGACGAAGATCACTTGTCTCTTTGTCAGGATCATTTATTAAAAGTTGTGAATATGTTAATGTTCATTTCATTTATTGACTAAAAAATGTAAGTAAAACTGATAAACTATTGGTCAATTAGGTAAAAATTGATGTTTTGTGCCAGTTTATTGATTAAACGTTTAGTTTTGAATGTTTGTGGAAGTTAAACTTAGTAATGGTAGTGTTATTTGGAGAAAGTTATGTACCATAATTTCCTTTTTCACTAATAGAGACCAGTAAAGCGTAATGCAGTTTTTAACGTGAAGCACTGACATGTTATCTCACTGTTGTATTTGTATTCCCTACTTTTACTGTTGTTGAGCACTATAGATATATTTTATGTACAAATCTTCTGTTGTGTACAAATTATAATAATTGTTAAGCAATTATGGTACTAGCGTTATGAAGTAGTTTTGTAGAATTTGTAATGTTTTTAACAATCAAACTAATTACAAGCAGTGATATAGTGTAGATAAAGAATTTCATTTTCCTTCACATTTTAGGGATAATTGATTATGCATGATCTCGAATTTTATTTATATTCTTAGACTTTAATTATGAATGATGTTTTCGATCATCAGATAAGGTGCATGAAAATCATTATTAACATGTTTTATTATAGTTTTAATTTTTACTTTAATTTTAGACCATCCTCAGGTTAAATATTTTGTACTTAATATTTGAAGCAAAGCTAGGATACTGCCTTTAGTGAAGGTGTAATAAAGGAATGAATTAGGTGTCCAGTCAATTTTGTTTTATTTCAAAACCCATCCTTGGTACTTTACTTTCCAACAATCAAAAACATGATTAATAAGCCCTTCAATTTGTAATTTGTAGTTGTAGTTTTGTAATTTTTACTAATCAACATTGCTTTTGGTTTTATGTCGAGTGTTAGCTTAGACTAACCAACACAAGTAAACTTCTCATCCCATTGTAAATTTGTAAGCTTATTTTTCGTGTCTAGTTCATGTTTGGTGACACTGATCACTAGGGTTGACGAAATTTTGTTTCTATTATTTTAGGGCTAATTTTATGTTTTGTGCTTTACTGTTTGGTTATATGACTATAGTTCGGCCGCTTAGAAAACGACCTCCTCCAGCATTGGTTTACCATTAGCGCGCAGGTCGTTTTCTAAGCGGCCGAGCTATAGGGGACAAGTTATTGTTTATGATTAGATCATTTTGTTTGGTTTAAAACACATTTTAAATTACTGAAGTAACAAGAAACAAATTATAATCAAAACACAACCTCTAACAAAAAAAATGGCTTCGTCTGTTCCATAAGGATGAGAAATTTTACTAAGAAAGTATCTATGGTTATCTATGGTGTTAGCATACATGAAGGAATTCCAAATACAGTATATATCAATGTAATTTATAACTCTGATTTTAATAATATATAACTCAGATTTTGGTTTATCATTATAATAAGATATTTTTACATGTTATGTCTACAATCGGAATTTTTTAGAATTTTTTTAAATTTTTTACGGACTGGGACAAAACTGTAGGTCCCTTAGTTGCCATTTTTTTTATCCTAGGACGCTAGGTATGAGCCTGAGCCCGGAATTGTTTTTCACATTACTTTAGGCTAGACCTAGGGATTACGGCATTATCACTTAGATAAATAATCCATTAGTGATTTGGCGGGATTTGAACCCGGGACCCCAGGAACTGGAGTCCCACGCTCTAACCACTAGACCAGCTCACTCCCCCTTATTAGTTGCCATTATCTGTATGGGATATTAATTAACAGCTGTGTCTAAGGAATATGGCGGCCTTAGTCACTAACAAGACTACAAGATTGTGCCACTCATCCTGCACTCATCTCCATTCATACTTGGCTTAAAATACCTACTTTGTATGGTCGCCATTTCAATGAAAAGTATTTATAGCTAGAATATGTAGAATTGCTAAATTAATACAAACTGTAGTAATTGACAAGCAAATAGAATTACTCGTAGCTGGCTTATACTTGTTACATGTAAATATTGTTTTGTTTTCTAAAATCTACCACGCTCGAAACTTCAGTAACCTAGGTACATACCATGGCATTTGTCTTAGTTGCCTCTTATCAAATCTTAGAACATTGGAGGTGACTGTCTGAGAAGGGGATAAGAGAGTGAGCTTGGTTACCCTGTGATGCTAAGCCTAACCAAAATATGTCTGTGTTCCTCTTGAGCCCATGACATGTAGCTGACATGTATTTCAAGAGATTCCACAGAAAGGCTGGTTCCGCAAGGTCTCAGGCTGAGGCCACATTTGCTAACTTGTTGGCCGCCTAGGTCCCTTCTATCCTTGAATACCCCCGACAGTGTGTCACCGTGTTGCACCTGTCCAGAGCAGATGCTGTTTTGAGTAATTGCCTTTGACCAATTAGGACCACATTTGATTGAATTCATAGGGGTATTAAGGGATATTAAGGCCTGTGAAAATGGAAATTTTCATGTCCCTGAAGCCCTGCCTAAGGTTCTCCCTAGCACACTCCATGGTTGGAGTTATCTCGACCTGGAACACTGTTGGATGCACCCCCATGGGAAGACAGGAGTTCAACCCTTTCTGCACACCAAGTGATCAAGCCACTGTACTACCACCTTGGTATCAGTATACCATTATAGCTTGCCATGTGAAAGAGCGACCTACATAGACATAATTCATTCATCATACATCCCCTCTTTACATAGGTACCATATTGGCATTCAATTCTATATTGAAGAATGATGGTTTAGCAAAGAAGACTCATATACACATGTGGTCCAAGGGAATGTCCAGAACCTCCATTATTATCATCTGAACGAACCAAGAGTGGCCTCGTGATCTTCCTGCTAAAAGGTTTTCACACGGGAGTCTGCAGGCAACCTTACTCTCAGTGCACTTGACGGCTGAGTCAGGTTGAGAAGGTAGTCCAGTGACGCAGTACCTAGGGACTCCCTCGTGTGGTTATAAACTCTAGAAACTCAATCCTAAAGTGAAAGTCTTACATTCCTTTTCCTCAGAAGAGATTCTATCCACCTGCACACCGCATCATGGAATCCATGAGAGCTAGCAGCCTTCGTTTCAGTGGTGTCAAATACATCCTGGGTATGCATTCCAGTTCCCTTTTTTATCCTGATCATCAAATGATGTCACCTGATCTTCTTGGATTGTAATCGTGCTGATTGATGGGCTGTGTTGATCATTAACTCTTAGAACTGTGTTCCTTACATACCTCAGTACCAAACTGTAGGTCTTCAGCAGGAAAGAAGACATATATAAAGAGAAAAAAATTTAAAAGGGCTATGGTGTGCCTTGCCATACCAGGTTTAGAGAAAAGACCATCATTGAAGTGCTCCAAGCTGAGATTATGTGTCCCAGAGCCAGGCTGGCCAAGAACGATCTACAGTTGAGTACTCAGCAAAGGAAGTATTATGACAAAACCTTGCTGAATGTAGATGGATGAGTGCTTAAGTAGCCGACACAGCCTAGGTGTAGTAGAGAACGACGCTAACCTAACCCTCACACCCATAAGTAGTAGATACTGTTGATACCGCGTATATCGTGAGCTAGTGATGCCGTGTTGGGGTTCAGTAGCCGACACGACGTCCTTGTAGGCCATTGTACGGCCTCACGTATCGCTTTTTCATCATCGCTTGTTTACTTATACTTGTTTACTTTTTCAACTTATATATCTAACAGTACCGGTATTGTTAATGGGTATTGTTGGCGTTCATCTAATAATCGAGTAAAAACTCACATTCAACTATACCTTAACGGTGGCCTTCCGTTGATAAAAACGGCCAATAGATGGGACTCATTGTTCGTTGGGTGACGATGACGATGTGTTTACTCTGACACCGTTGCGTCGTCGCGTCCGTTATTATAACCGAAAGGAGCTAGAATGGATCGTTTGTATGGTAATAGAATAAAAAATAAAACCCATATAAGCCTAATATATACATATATGCTCCATATTATGGAGTAGAGGGATACGTTATTTTTATAAATCCAGTTTACCTACAAAATTGCAGACTAAATATTGTTTTTCTTATACGGCAAAATATACATTCTTATTCTTTTTTATTTTATTTCCATTTTGTTAACAGATTTACAAACAAAATATTTTTTTAATCAATAAATATTTAACGTTTCAACTCCAAAGCGATTTTACGATTGAATGTAAAACGTATCGTATGTATCACGTTTTAATCCAATAGCCTAAACATTTCAAAAGGAAAACTATAACAACCAACAGCTACAACAACCTGGTTAAGGAAATATGTAACAAGATAAGAAGTGGGAAATAACAATGCTTGAAATTACTATTTATAAGTATAATTTAGGAGTGAGCCTACAGTACCGTTCATTGATAGTATATGGTTGGGTTATTGTGCTAATTTAGAATTCGCAAGACACATGCATTCTAACTACAGCACATTGTATTCACTCAGTCGTGTGCTAAGTACACCTATCCGGGCGTTATGGATTGTTTTGACTGCATCTCCCAAATACTATCACATAACATTTTTCACCGTAGCAATAAAAATGTTCAACCTCATTGTCGTCTTCGACAGCAACAAAGAGCCAAAGATGGTTCTAATTTGACGGTCGGTTAGGAAATTCCAGGAGTCGAAGACCGCCGTGCGCCGCCGCCATGAGTCAGTCGATCGTTCCTGCGTTACTCATCTGAGCCAGGTCGGTTTCAGTTTCTTGTTTTGTATGACAAAGACGGGTTTGTGACGGGTCTATGGGGATCTACCAGCCAGAGGAGAGGACAGAGGTCAGATCAGAAGACACAAGGTTTTTCTTTGTGTCTTCCACATGTCAGATTTATGTGTTCAACTTCGAGCTGCCTAAGCAGACGCAACTGAGCTGGAGCTCGGAAGTACAGTGGATTGCTATGAATGAAGCATCTTTTCCGAAGTACACTACTAGGTATTATACTTTGATACGTAGGCCCTACTTGAGTAATGAGTGATACAATTTTCAGAACTTAAAATAAGGTATTTTTATTGTAAATGGCATAATTTTTTCCTCCATTTCTAAGTCAATAAAACTTTCCTATGTTAAACACTTTTAGAGCAATAGTTTTTTTTTTTTTAATCCATCCGTTTCCTGTGGACCACCTTTAATTTATATCAATTTAACACCAATAAAGGCAGAGATAATTTGGTGGGGAGGAATTAAGATTGTGAAGGTGTGTATCATTGTTCTTACGAAACACATAAGAAGTATTCGAACTGCCATAAAACAATGCTGCTTGAACGCAAACCTATACTATACTATATAGAAGATATGCCTAGTTCTGCAAATAATATCTTGCTCAAAGAACAATATTATACAGTATTTTAAAAATCATATATAGTTTTGTAGTATGTTACTCGCATTTTACCACTTCTAGCTTCTAGGGAAGTTAAAATGCTTTGAACAGATCCTGTAAAATACTGCAATAGGTACAGTACAATTGTTAATTATGGTGAATAAGCACAGCACTTTTTGCCAAGTGGTAAATAATTGTTCATGAAAACATTCCATTACTTTCTGTTGAGAATTGTTAACTTTTATATGCATAAGGCGGGTCGCCGGATTTCTACCCCCGGATATTTACCCCCATGAAAAAACGCCTACGTCATTTTGACGTCACGAGGGGCGGGGCTTATACACGGTCGTGAAACAGCCCGCGACTGGAAATCTACCCCCGGACATCTACCCCCAGATATCTACCCCCGGACATCTACCCCCGGACATCTACCCCCGGAAATCTACCCCCCGTGGGCAGCTCTGCCGCGTATCGGCCAATATTCATTGTTGTAATTGATTTTATTATTTGCTTTTGTAAATCAACGGCTCTTCGGTCAATCATTACCCTTTAATATCTGGTATTAAGCATGTGATATGTCATTGCCTTGTTTAACATTATCTATCTTCCTAATAAAATAAGCTGTAACAGCCCTTTTTCACCCGAAATACTTCACTGATATTTATGATTGAGGTGTAATTTTAAATCTTAAGATCCAGCTCAACGCAAAATGGCATTTAAAACTATATGTTGATAAAGGGCTTCAAAAGTGTGACCCTTAAGCATTTGATTCATTTCCAGACAGTGATTTAAATGGTTGACCAACTTTCACATACAGTAACAGCTAACAACGCATGCATGAGCGCGGATCGGAAGTGTTTATCACAAAAGATTGACCAATACGATTTTAATACTATTTAAAGGTTCTTCCAAAAGAAGAGAACCCAGTTAACATTGAAATAATAATAAGAGTACGGAATGGGAAATATTTTATATATATATATCATTTTATATGTATATATATTTTATATATATCTCAAAACACCTATATTTTCATATTTATTTGACGAAGACGATTTCTAAAATTCCAGTCAGGGAAGCTTTTATTTATCCTGATTACCCATAAGAACAAAGCTACCTTAGTAAACCAGCATCACAAACAATGATGTGTTTTCTGGTGTGATTCAAATCATTTATTGAAAATAACATCAACAAATAAATCAAACATAGACGGGCAACAAACTGTTTTTTACACAAAAGATAATGTCATTCTGAGTTTGTTTAAATACTGGAATTGCAATCCGTTGTTTTACATTTGAGCTTTTTAGGGAATTATGTCCCTACAAGCCACTAGTATTATATTATTTTCATAACTTTTTCATCTCCTGTTTACAGTTGCAGACTATCTATTCATGTTTTCACAACCTGACTTAAAAATTGATCTGATGAGTAATCTGCTCACATTTCACTTTTACTGTTACTGTAAGTAGAGGAATTTAGCGGCTCCTGCGGGAGTGAGCGTGAGTGAGCGTGTGAGCGTGTGACGTCACACGACGCCGCCCCCGCCCCCACCCCCACCCCGACGCCACCCCCACCCCCGACGCCACCCCCACTCCCTGACGCCACCCCACCTCTCCTCCCGACGCCACCCGCATCGTCACCCCCACCCCCGTCGCTAACCCCTACCACCATCGGGCAGGTTCAAGGTCATCCTTTGTTGTCTGGAACCACCCTTCGCATCGTGGGAGGTCTCCAAGCCAACCCTCCCTACACCATCACTCACTGTCAGCCGCAGCTGCTCCCCAACACCTGCGCTCCAAGCGACCCCCCGCTCCTCCCTTGTATTCTTTGTTCTCCACATAGCGCACACTTATTTACCACCAATAGGATGTTAGCTTATTTTGACCAATCATAGAGCAGTATTTCACATATCTCAAATATTTTAACCGTTTTACCTGCCAGACTGTTTGAACGACCAACCCAACTGAAAAAGTGGTAGGAATATGATGTAATAGACGTACACTATGAAAATAGCATACATATGACACAAAATTGTAAAAAAGTGTATTTTTTCAAGTCCAATAGTTTAGTTTATTTTACTTTGCGGACTATGAAGAGAGAAGGTGCTACTTACATTTAGATAGTTTCGTTTTAAACTAAGAATAGAACAGACTGAAACATTATTATGTTAACATATTATGCTAAGGTTACAACATATAATAGAGTGTTAAATGTAAACCACGAGTTATGTGGGAGGTCTCCAAGCCAACCCTTGCTCCTCCCGCTCACTCACGATCCTCCCGCTTACTCATGCTACCCCCACCCGCCCCAACACCCCCCCCCCCCACACTCACACCTCGACACCCCCACCGCCCAACGCCTCACCACTATGCCCCCACCCCATTCTCCCGCCTTCGCGAAGGTTCAGGGTCATCCTTTGTTGTCTGGAACCTGCCTACGCATCGAGGGAGGTCTCCAAGCCAACCCTCACTACACACCATCACTCACTGCCTTAGCTCACTGTCAGCTACAGCCGCTCCCCAACAACAGTGCTCCAAGCGAAAGTGTTTCGCTAATTAAATGCTGTTTAATATTCAAACCATGACACGTAAAATTAATTTTTAGCTTAATTTAAATAAAAAGTATTAAAAAAATTGTTCTATAGTTTTTTTTTCAATCCATGCAACTAATGACAAAGCAATAACAGGATTAATCATTACGATTTGGCAGGTCACCAAGAATCGATTTTACTGCCCAACAAATTTACTAATTCCACGATTAAATTGTAGATTCCTTGGGAGAGTAATTAAGGTGTGAAATACAAACATTATCGTTATTATATCGCTTTTTCTTCAAAAAAATAATTATCATTTAATGCCTACATGACCCGTAATGAGTATAAATTTATCAGAGTTCATTTTCCTACTACTGGATATTGAAAATTTTAATAATAAAATAAACAGTTACCTTGTTCAATATCCTTTTGTGCTATTTGATGACGACCGGTTTCGTGACAACAATCACATCATCAGGTCAATCCTCGTAGAACGATTCGTTAATACATAAAGTTTTTACCGAACACAAGACGAAAACACATTGTAAGTCGCGGCCGGCTCGACATAAGCGTGCACGCATCGCGATGGTTTCTCCGTGTAAATATCTTGTAAATACAATGTGTTTTCGTCTTGTGTTCGGTAAAAACTTTATGTATTAACGAATCGTTCTACGAGGATTGACCTGATGATGTGATTGTTGTCACGAAACCGGTCGTCATCAAATAGCACAAAAGGATATTGAACAAGGTAACTGTTTATTTTATTAATAAATTTATCCATTTTCCACTAATTAAACTGTCACTCTTGTTCAAGAAATTTAAGAATTTGGATTTGTGCCTATACTTAAAGTTAGTAAATAAGATAAGTTACGTTAAAAACTTCAAGTTTTTATGGTTTAATTTAAATTGTTGTCTTACTTAAGTTTTTTTTTAAAGATAAGTAGGTTTGATAATACACATCTATTTTGTATAGGTATGAGTACAAAAATATATTGACTCTAGTTTTGGCTTAGACTATACTAAAAAATTTCACTAAAATTAAAAGTCGTATAATTTAGCTGATAACGTTACATAATACTATAAAACTAATATTTTTACAGAACTATTATCTGACATTTTCTCACTTGAGGAACATCAATTGTCTAGGCAATGCACATTCAGAATAATATACGGGCTTTGTTGGTTAATAGTTCATCAGTTAAAAATTAGGTTACGTAACTGAATAATTTCACCACGGAGATAATATTTGTTAAAACGAAACTATTGTCCCTGTTGAGTTTTGCTTGTCTTCAAAAAGGTGTTATTGAATGATTAATTTTTGTTAGATTTCTTGAAAAAATAGTTAGCTGTTTTGACAAAACATTTAATTGAATTAATTTCAGACAAAGATATCACCAATATTTTAGTTATGTTTTATTATACGTCATAACGAAAACGTTACAAAATTAAATCCCACTTATGGACAATGTAATATAAAATATAATTTTGTTTGGTTATTTTAGGTAACATTATAAAATTATCTCTAGTTATGATACATGGATTTATTAATGTCATACCTATAGTTTTATCAACGTAGAAACAATTGAAAATTCTAAAAAACAAATAAATAGGGTAAATTGTTTGGGAGTGCAATTTTAACGTTTGTTAATCAAACCAGTATTGCAAAGTTGGTCACACATATGTTATTTATTTTTCTCCTAAAATTAGTTGAAAAAAAAACAATAAACAAATGTAAATGTATACCAACTCCTTTGCACTATAGTCGAAGTATTTGTATGTAATTTTGTTAAGTCCTTTTTACAATTTTCGTCTTTTACGGAAAATAGTATTCATTTATATTTAATGGGTTATATGGTTTGTCTTAGGAAAATAAAGATCAACATAACTTATATATGAAAAGCTAGATCTCCACTCTTTTCTTCGTGTTTAATTAGCTTGTTTGGACGTATATTGGATTATACTTATACCAACTCATATTGCAATAGTAAAGTGATTGGGCATAGCTATCACATTAGTTTTAAATATTATGCCATGTTTATGTAAATACAACAATGATGGTAGGCTAATGTTGCTTAAAGGGTTATTACAGACACTTTTCATCACACATGTAAAACACTCTACCCAACGTTTCAGCATCTAAAAACTCATCTCGTACACAAATGAGAAAAAACTTAACACATTGTAACATTGTAACTTAACATATTGTACAACTAACAATACACAAACTCCAACCTAAGTTGGAATACACTTCAGAGAACATTCAAGTATAGGCTATCCACTGTATAGCAGTCAAGTCATGATCCTAAATGCAAAATACAACAAATCAAAACACAACAAAATCTAAAATTTAATAAAAGAAAAAAATTAGATATATGGTTTCAGCTGTTAGCCTATGATAAATACATAATACAATAAAGTTAAAATAAAGTTATATAATAACTAAAAAGTGAGAAATAGTGACAAGTTCACACGCAATATCTTTCGTCAAAGTTTGGAAATTTTTGGTGCAGGTTTTTGCCTTTTTTGAGCTGTCATTGGTTGGAGGAATAAAAATAACTTTAGATGAACGGGATTTTATTTCTTCCACGGTCAACGTTCAATTAAATATGCATTCTCATATACAGTAAATTTAAATATAATTTCAAAATATAATTGCTTTATTTTTCTTGAAAAACAATCTTCCTTTTATTTTCATTATAATTTTTCTATATTTTAAAAAATATATGGGGTTTTGTAGAACTATTTAGTTTTAATTATTGAAAAGTCAAGTAACATTACTGTGCGCAAAACCTATACAAACAATTAATTGCAAAGAAGATGCTTTGTTCTCAACCACATATTATTTATCTTTCATATTGTCCCACTTAGGTTCGTATTTTAACTAAATATGAATGTAGAATGAAGAAGTATCACCTTTCCAAGTCGATGTCAGTACTGATCACGATACCGTCACAATCGACACGTACCTACTAGTAGTCTAAACCTTGTTAATAATTTTAAAATAAACTAACTACAATTCCTTCTATAAAAAATAATAATAATTAAAAATATATTTAAAAAACTTGTATTCGGTTTAAAAAATATTCTTTCCAAGCTAGAGATGTCTGATATGTTTAAAAAAAGGTCAAATGGTTATAAAGTTATGTGCAGTTTTTATTTTATTGAATGCTACAGAGAGTAAAATGATGATTTAGTTCAGAACGCGTTTTATACTCAGATTTATAAGTTCCACTCGAGCTTTAATAGTTTATGAAGCAACATAGCATTTAATAAGTTTATACTATAGCATACCGTGAATTTAAAGAACCAAATTCTATCAAACTGTGTCCTCTCCCATTGAAAACGCAAAGCTTGAGTATAACTGCAATACGCATTTTACACCTATATGCCAACCACGTACAAAGGACGGATACTCTGCTATTAAATAAATAAATAAAGCAAATAACTCAAAACAACATTCGATAGCTTCCATTCACATAATAGTGCAGGTAACTCTTGATTATCCGCATACTTGTAATTCCTTAGCATCCAGAACCTAGAAATTTTCAAATATATTTCCATCCCTGTTTTATTTATCAGTTAACTAAACCTGTAAAAACATGAAGAAATAAGGGTTCACTAACTTAATCCATTACCAAAGACACCACTGTCGAGTATAATTATTTATCTCATACGGCAACACCCTGTCGTAAATATCCATTACTTTCAAAAGATATAAGAAATCATCGCGGCCAATTGTATCATTGTTTGAAAGATTGGTATATCAATCGCATACTCCTCAGTTTTGTTTGCATACACATTCCTTTCACAGGGTAGGTAGACAATAAGAAGCGATTGTTGTATAATAAATTTATCCCTGAAAGACGAATATATACAAATAAGAATCCTTGTCCCTGGATCAAGTGTATTAGGTAAAATATTTGATAAACTTGTGTTTCAGCAAATCTCTAGTTATATTTGTGATAGTAATAAGTTGTATAAATACCAAGCAGGCTATAGTTTTAACTATAACACCCAGACTGCATTGGTGTCAATAACTGATGATGTAAAAAGAGCAATGGACAGTCGTGAAGTTACTATTATGGTTTTGTTAGATTTTTCTCGTGCTTTTGATAGTGTCCATCATAAAATGTTACTGGCAGTTATGAGATCTTTTTCTTTTAGTGGTAGCGTTGTTAGTTGGTTCGAATCATATTTATCAGATAGACAACAAAGAGTTAGAACTAGTAAAGGTTCATTGTCAGAATGGAAGTGTAATCCCATTGGTGTACCCCAGGGCTCTACCTTGTCTGCAATGTTATTTTCTCTATACATCATTAAAATTGGTGATTCATTGGTTTTTACTAAATCTATGCTCTGCGCAGATGATTTTCAATTGTATTTACATGCTCCTGTTAAAAATATTAATAATGCTATTGATATGTTAAACACTGATTTGGACACTTAATTAGAGTGGTACAATGGTCATGACCTAAAACTAAATATAAATAAATAAATAAATATAATTTTAGGTACTAGCAGACTATTGAACACAATATATTTGGAAGTGGTCCCTAAAGTAATGATAGATAACAATGCTTTAGAGTATCAAACAACTTTTAAAAACTTAGGTTTAAGAATGATGAACAGCTTATCATGGTCCGAACAAGCTAGTTACATACACAGAAAGGTATATCAGTGTTTATACCAGTTAAAGCGCATGTGCTTCAATCCCTCTGAAAAGTTAAGAAAAACTTTAATTTTAACATTGGTTTTTTCCCATTTTTGATTATGCTAGTGTAGATTCTTGTGATATCAGTAATGCTCTGTTAACTAAAACATTAGAGAGCACAAAACGATTGTATTAGATTTTTTTTTCGATTACAAATACATGGACACGTGACAGAATATTATAAAAGATTAAATGTCCCGAAGGTTAAAGAGCGATTAGAATATAATACTCTCGTCTTAGCTCATAAAACA